TTTTCTGATATTTTCCTTTTAAACCTCCTGCAGGGTCTACTTCTTTTTCTTCTTATGGCAACAGTGGATGGCATGAGGCCTCAAAACTGTCAAAATGATTCCAGTTTATGTGCAACCACCCCATCTAAAACACAATATGCAATGTTATATTTAACATTGACACTGGTATGCATCGGGTTAGGCGGTAGCCGCTTCACTTTGGCTACAATGGGAGCTAACCAATTTACAAAGGCTAAACATCAAGAAACTCATTTTAATTGGTATTTTTTTACATTGTATTTTGCTACTGTTATCGCCAGCACAGCAATTGTTTATGTTGAAGATAATGTGAGTTGGGCATGGGGATTTGGTATATGCATAATGGCAAATGTATTGGGATCAATCATTTTCTTGTTGGGAAAAAAGTATTATTATTATGATACGCCACAAGGGAGCCCATTCACAAGCTTGGCTCAGGTAATTGTTGCAAGTTTTAGGAAAAAGAAGATGGCTTTGTCTTCCCAAAGCCCTGACTATTATTACGGAGATGATCTGCAAAAAAAGATTGATGAACTACCTACAAACAGCTTCAGGTAATGTATAATTTCAATTTCTTCAATTATTCAGAACTGTTAATCAGAAAAAAGTTGCCAAATCTTTGGGACCATGCCTGTTGGTAGTCAAAATCCATCTCTCTTTTATATCACATTGCAGCATTTTTTAATGCGTAAGTTGAATAATTTTTGAGCGTATCTCAATTATTGAGATTAATAATTTTTATAGGATGTAGTTGAACTATGGACGTAGATGCCTTGAATTTAAATCTCGATGCCACCTGTCTATGAAAGTTGAATGCATCCGATGTGAGGTCATTTGTGAATCTAGCCTATATACATTTGTTCCCTCTTGGATATTCATATACTATTTCTTAACTTTTACTGCAAGTAGGGAAATAAAAATTAGTGCCATGTTGGGATATGATATTTCCTGCTCATTGTTGTAAGAGTCATGCTAGAGATACAACCTCCTTTACATGGAGGCTGACAGCTCCCTCACAACAAGGGAGGCCGGTGCATTTTTTTTTATTAGCGCACGCCCCCCTACTGTGAGGCGGTGTAATTTGTGGTAGCTCACTTCTATGAACAAAGGAAAAAGTCTCTTTGTCAAAAAAATAGGTGACAGAGGCTTTGACCTCCTCTCACAAGTTACAACGTCGGGTCCCATGATTAAAAAATTGGGAGGAAAAGGTGGCCCCACCCCCTAACGTGAGGGTCGATCAAAGCCTCTGTCACTCTTTTTTACAGAGGAGCTCGGTTCACAAATCTTATTTTTTTCCCCAACAACCAGTTTGACTACTCTTAGTCATTTCAACGAGAGATTATTTTGAAATTAGGTAATGAGACAAATAATAAGTTCAGCAACTTTTCTTTCTGCTGATCTTGCACCATTATCCTATGAATTAAAAATTGTCATAGGACAAAAGGGATACAGATTGTTGACACTGACTTCTAGTCTATTAATGTCATTGGCAATAAATGAAAAATAATACGTGTTTGTTGATATATTGTTACATAGGTTACTGAACAAAGCAGCAGTCAAAATTGAAGGAGACATTCTACCAAATGGCTCAATTGCAAAGCCATGGAATATTTGCACTGTGCAGCAAGTTGAAGACCTCAAAACTCTATTCCGAATCCTGCCGCTATGGTCCAGCAGTATACTTTTATCGACCCCGATTGGAATTCAGGGAAGCTTATCGGTTCTCCAAGCTCTAGCCATGGATCGTCAATTGGGACCGCACTTCAAGTTCCCAGCAGGTTCCCTTCTAGTCTTCACACTAGTAACCACTGCAATATGCCTTAGTCTCTTTGATCGTTTCCTATGGCCAACATGGAAGAAAATCTTCGGGCGAAATTCAACCCCACTTCAACGAGTTGGCATTGGCCACGTGTTTAACATGGCCAGCATGGTAGTTTCAGCCTTGGTTGAGACGAAAAGGCGTGCCACCGCCCATTCCCACCACATTCAAGGTTCAGACATGGTAGCCTTATCGGTCTTGTGGCTGGTCCCTCAACTGGTTATTGTGGGCATTGGGGAAGCATTCCACTTTCCAGGACAAGTTGCTTTGTACTATCAAGAATTTCCCTCTTCACTCAAGAGCTTGGCTACTGCAATGATTGCACTGGTAATTGGAATTGCCTATTATTTGAGCACCGCGGTGGTCGATTTATTTCGAAGAGTAACGACATGGTTGCCCGACGACATAAACAATGGCAATTTGGACTACCTGTATTGGGTCGTAGCAGTGCTCGGGGTTATCAACTTTGGATACTATCTCGCATGCGCATGCTTGTACGAATATAAAAATATCGACAAGGCAGAGACAGATGAGATGAATGATTGCACCGAAACTTTGACAGTAAAAAACTGAGATCGATTCAGTTGAACCTTTGACAGTTGATAGAATGTTTGGGAGCAATGATGAATAAAATCCTTCAGTCGTGTAAATGAAGTTTTGTCGTGTACAAGTAATTATGGGACTGGCTGCACGCTTTGTGCTAGTGAACTTCTGAATGGTTCCTCTTAGTGNACAAATTTAAATTGAGTGATCCAATTATAGCCCTTATTTGATTTATCAGAATTTTAGTAAATTTTGATCAAAACTGATGGAATGTAAGGTTGAAAAGAAGTTGATCCCATAAATTAAGTACTCGTTTAGTTCCCATTTTTTAGAACTCGTTTTTTTTTTTTCCAAATTCATTTCAACCACACATTTCATAAAACCTCAACTTTATCAACTTTTCAACCACACATTTCATCAATTTTTATTAGAATATACTAAAAATCTAATATTCATCTAAACCAAATATGAACTAGTTGATATTGATATAGATTTTAATCAAGTTTTGTAACTGTACCAAACATGGCATAATTTTTGTACAAGTTAAGAGCCTGTTTGAGAGTGATTTTGAAAATTAATTTTTTGACCGTTAGGAGAAAAGTGGGATCCACTTGTGAGAGAAAAAGTCAAATATGATGGCTGAAATAATGAAATAACTGTTAAAAAATTAATTTTTTTGTCTGAAAAATCACTTCTAAATAGGCTGTAAATGACCATCAATATTTTTACCCGGTGCATTTGTAAAATACGGATTATAATTGGTGGAAATTAATATTGCATACGACCCAACAATAATTTGTCTTAATTGGACATTCGTGAGCACTTTTCGTTTACATTTGATTTGCTACCAATTTGTCAACAATGCCATCAAATTCCAAGCACATTTAATATGTATTAAAATATGATAATACCAATGAAAAGACATGTTATTATCATTTTAATTATTTCATCTTGACTAGTTTTTTAATTATCAAGTAAAATTCTTATAAATTAGTTAAAATCCCTAGAAAGATAAATCCGAAGTGGTGCGAGGAGAAATTAGCAAACTTTTTTCAAGATTTGAGCTGTTAACATTTAAATTTAATGGTTGGTATAGAAAGTCAATTTGGTAATGCATTAGAAGCTTCGACTTAATTTCATAGCATATTATTTGTATCAAACAGGAAAATATAACGTAATTACGTAACCCAAAAGTATAACGCACCAAGAGCAAATGAAAAATCACCTTGTGTAAAATTATTACATGTAGAATTAATTAAACCCCAATGGATTCTTTATAAGTGAGACGCACTTTTAAGGGTTGTGCTTGTTGTACACTCTTGACACACAACTTATGGCCATCGTTTAGCAAACTGCCAACAGAGGACAATGGTCTAATATGATCAATTTGATAAGCTCTTCTAATTTTCTATAACCTGCCCATGGTAAGATCGAAGGTAAGATCGAAGTCTGACTTGACAATAGGTTAAACCGGGCTATCCAACCCGCTTTACTCGCTCCGTACATATCTAATTTTAATGTGATTTGTATTCATGTAAGCAAAAATGTTTGCAAAAATATCTCTTCAAAGTAAATTAAGTGGGACTCTGCCTAATTGACGTGGTAAGAAAAAATAAACAATGTAAAGATGTTCGTCTATATGTAGAAGCTTTGGTCAAACAAAGTGAGTCAACAAATTAAACTCTCTCTCATTTTTCTTGTATCGTATAAAATATTTCACGGATGAAATTTAAATATTATAGTCTATTTATCAAATATTAATGTCACGTGAACTATAAATCTTTCTATTTATCTACATTAAACTGCAATTCATTATATGCATTGAAAATGCTCATATACATAAATTTTGATACATTTAAACAAAAATTATGCTATATGCACAAAGTCGATTGACAAAGTAATATATGTACCAATCATTTCAACAACAAATTTTAAGGGTTGTGCTTACTGTACACTCTTGACACACAGCCCCCTCACATGAGCCGTCATGTGAAGAGGCTATGACATTGTACAGCCCTAACAGTTTAATCCCACTTCTAATATTTAAGAGTCAACCTTGAACTTAAACTTCAGTCCTTGTTTGGGCCCCAACCCATTCCGGTGAAAAAAATATATTTTTGAATAGTGTATTAATAGAAAATGTGTTGTTAAAAAATAAAGAAAAGTTTTATATTTGCGTCTAATATTATTTTATTGAAAAATGTGTGACTGAAATGATGTCAAAACACTGTTTGAAAATACTTTTTTTTTTTTTCCAAAAATGGGGTTCAAATAAATTTTCTATTTTAAATAGTCAGATTGACTCTCTAAATTCTAAAAGTTAAATACATTAAATATTTTAGTTGTTAAGTGCTAAAAAGAAAAGTTTTATATTTGCGTCTAATATTATTTTATTGAAAAATGTGTGGTTGAAATGATGTCAAAACACTGTTTGAAAATACTTTTTTTTTTTCCAAAAATGGGGTTCAAATAAATTTTCTATTTTAAATAGTCAGATTGACTCTCTAAATTCTAAAAGTTAAATACGTTAAATATTTTAGTTGTTAAATGCTAAAGTACATGAAAATGATAAAATGGTGTTAAAAGATACCCTATAATTATAGGTAAGAATTAGGGTTGGAGAGGAACAATTTTATGATAATTAAGGCTGGACTGCATGGATACAATGATTATTCACTAACTAGTATTAAATTGCAACAGTAAAGAGTTTGTTGGAGTGTATACAAAGTTTTACTCTTTAAATTTAAGGGTTCGATAGTGATTTTGAGAATTGATTTTTTGACCGTTAGAAGAAAAGTGGGAGCCATTTGTGAGAGAAAAAGTCAAAAATTACTATTAGAGTGGTAAAATAACGATTAAAAAATCAATTTTTTGAGGTGAAAAATCACTCCAAACGGAGCCTAAATATGCAATCTATTGAAGCTGAGAATGTTTTTTTAAAATAAAAAGTTTCTTAAAGATACTCTAATCTATTATCACTAATTTTTGAATAACTACAAAAAAAAAAATAAAGAATTATAATTGAACAGTAAAGATAATAAAGCTAAAAGAATCAAGGCAGATATTGATAAGTTTTACTTATAATTATAAGCTTAAAGTGAAATTATAAGTAATTATAAGTGGAATAAAAGCTGCTTCTTCTTCCTTTATTTTTTTATTTTATATCAAACTGATCATCTTACTTATAATTCATTTCAACATTGAACTATCGGTGTTCTTTGATAGCAAAATTAAGGGAAAATTGCAGCTGAGGTACCAAATCTTTCGTTTATTAGCAGACTTTGCCCAAACCTTTAGTTTGTGCCACCGGAGGTACCAAATTTCCAAAAAATTCGCACCCGGAGTCCAAACTGACAGAAACCGTTAGTTGACCCCAAAATTGACATTGACCAAAATTTGACCGATTTTTAAAGGGTTGAATATGTAACTTTATATTTTTCATATAAAAAATTAAAAATAAAAGAAATATACTTCATCTTCTCCACTTCACCCTACAAACATCCACCCAAAAACCAAAAATCAGGAACCACTCACTTCCCTACTTGCCAGCCGACCGCCCAACGCTACCCCTTCAACGCCAGTCGATCGCCCAACGCCACCCTTTCACTGCCTTCAAATTCTCCAAATAAACAGTCTTATCTGTATCTATATACACAGTCTTATTTCCTCTTTAAACGCAGGGGATTTCAGCTTTCTCACCGGAAAAAGAAAATCTTGGAATAAGTGCTTTTTTTCACAGCCTCCAATGAAAGGGAAAGCGAATACCGTTGAATAGCAGAAACAATTTCAGAAATCTAAGAGAAGAGAACCCATCACGGCATCACACATCATATTAGGTTTTCTTTATATAATGTCTTCTCCTCCTTGGTGGTTTTCAAAGAAGCACCTTTCGGCTTGGAGACTGGAAGCTTCTCCTCAATGGTTGTAACTGCATACTAACTAAATCTAGTTTTCTCCTTTGGCGTCACAATCGAATCTTCAACCATCTGAAATACAAATTTCAACCAAAAATAAAGGAAAAAAATCAGATCTAAAATTCATAAAAATGAAAATTCCAAATTCATAAAATTGGATTTGGCTCTGGGAGAAGAAGGGAAGGGTGGCGCAAATTTTTGTAATGACTGGACGTTGAGACGATGGTGCTGGCTGTGGCGGTGGTGGTTTTTGAGGCTCTGGAATTGGGGAAGAAGGGAAGGGTGGTGGGTGGTTTTATTATTTTGATTTTTGTTTTTTTAATTTAATTATTAATATATATTATAATTGTCTTTTTTGTTTAAAAAATGTAAAGTTACAATTTTAACCTTTAAAAATCAGTCAAAATTTTGGTCAATGTCAATTTTGGGGTCAGCTAACGGTTTTGATGGTCAAACTAACGGTTTCTATCAATTTGGACTCCGGGTACGAATTTTTTGAAGGTTTGGTACCTCCGGTGGCACAATCTAAAGATTTGGACAAAGTCTACTAATAAACGAAAGGTTTGATACCTCAGCTGCAATTTTCCCCAAAATTAACGGAAGGTTTGATGGAGCCATTAACCCATAAAGCGTTCAAATGTGAATATAAGTAGAGAGTTGGTGCCTTGATTGAAACAAACTTAAAATTGAGTGATCCAATTATAGCCCCTATTTTATTTATCAGAATTTAAGTAAATTTTGATCAAAATTGATGGAATGTAAGGTTGAAAAGAAGTTGATCTCATATATGTATGGTTAAAATTAAATATTTGATTGGTTCGCATTTTTCAGAACTCCTCTTCTATTTTTTTATTTTTTTTTAAAATTCATTTCAATCACACATTTCATAAATCATCAACTTTTATCAACTTTTCAACCACACATTTCATCATTTTTTTAATTAAAATCTACTAAAAATCTAATATTTATCTAAACCAAATATGAACCAGTTGATATTGATATAGATTTTAGGGAAAAATCAAGTTTTGCAAAAACATGGCATAATTTTTGTACAAGTTAAATGACCAGCAATATTTTTACCTGGTACATTTGTAAAATACGGGTTATAATTGGTGGAAATTAATATTTCATACGACACAACAATAATTTGTCTTAATTGGACATTCGTCAACACTTTTCGTTTACATTTGCTACCAATTTGTCAACAGATGCCATCAAATTCCAAGCACATTTAATATGTATTAAAATATGATAATACCAATGAAAAGACATGTTATTATCATTTTAATTATTTCATCTTGACTAGCTTTTCAATTATCAAGTAAAATTCTTATAAATTAGTTAAAATCCCTAGAAAGATAAATCCGAAGTGGTGCGAGGAAAAATTAGCTTACTTTTTTCAAGATTTGAGCTGTTTAGCATTTAAATTTAATGGTTGGAATGAAAAGTCAATTTGGTAATGCATTAGAAGCTTCGACTTAATTTCATAGCATATCGTTTGCATCAAACAGGAAAATATAACGTAATTACGTAACCCAAAAGTATAACGCACCAAGAGCAAATGAAAAAGCACCATGTGTAAAATTTGAGCATGATCGAATCGTGGTGGTTCAATGGCTGCACTGTGGCCAAAGATTAAAGTGCCAACCACTGTAGCTGTCGCCAACAGACTTCCCAATATAGCCATGCAGCTTTTAGTAAAGGACTTGTAGTGTGTGGCACTATACAATGATAATGACAAGTACATATATATGATATTTTTATTAAAATCGACCTAATATTATATTAGGTCAATAGTCAAATAACTTTAGAGTAATTACATATTGAGAAATGCAAAGGAGAATGAGTAAAAATTAGAGATGCCAGGCAAACTATTTTACTATTAAAGAGACACTTTTTAGTCTCTCATAAAAATTATGAAATTTATTTTGCACGACAAATTCTCCTAATTCGATCAAAAACAAATTTGTATTTACTCATATTTATATAACATTTCAACTTTTTATCAAACCATATTTATTTTCATACATTATATAGAATGGATTTTAATAAAAAGTAATGTTAGTTGCAGGGGTGGACACAGAGAAATTGAGTTAGGAAGCACAATCAAACATTGTACAAATCGAATAATTTATTTTTTATTTTTATTTTTGAATGATTCATATTTGACCCGAAAAAATGTAGATTTACATTTCAAAAATATTTCTTCATTAATATTTTACTAATCATTTTCATCTATTTGATTTTGAACAATAGTTTTTTTAATATTTTGCTCATCATAAGAAAATGCATATTTATGTTTTAAAAAATTGTGCATTTGATACAAACAATCAATTCAAGTAATCGAAAGAAAAAACAAATAACTAATATTCAATACTAATAATCAGTCAAATAAACACAATTCATTATATATAAGTTAAATTTTATATAATCAATTTAGACACGTGCTATATACATAAATATGATAGGAGAAAATGCAAATTTAGGTTCTAATTAGTTGAAAAATTGATTGAAAAGTGAAAATTTGTAGTAGATGTGATAATTGTAGAGAAATTATAGACGATTTTTAAAAATTAGAAGAGATAAGATTTTGGTAAAAGGCTTGAAAGAGAGAATATGATAGAGCAATAAAAAAGACCCAAAAATCAAATTTATTGTGATTTTGTCTCTATTTGGTGGGGATTAAAGTCCGATTTTTAGTAAATTTTGATAAAATTGTAGAAGTTCAGGAATCCAGGAAATATGTTATTAAAATTAATTATTAACTTTGATTTAGATTAAAATTTAATTTCAATCGATACCAAACATGACTTTATTTAAAAAAAAAACGAAAATCTCAAAAGTTCGGGGGTCAAGTGACCCCTTTGGGTCCGCCCATGGCTATTTGTACATCACGGTTTATAGATTTATATACAGAACGATGACACGAAAGGGAAAGAAAGAGAAAAAAGAAAGAGTCGAAGTCAATTAATATAATCTACATCATCATTCTGACAGTGAATCTGTAAAACATGACGTACAAATAACATTATTCTCCGATAAAACGGATTTTCATACATTATAGGGTGCATAGGAATCTTGTCTGTGTGGCTGCACAAATCCAAGGAGATATACATCATGTTGGTGCACGCTGAATTTTTCACTCCATCAAGCACACCTTACTGCAGAAAGGAAATTAAGCTTTTCTTGGCAGCTAAATCAGCATAACCTTTATTGATTAGAACACCGCATTAATAAACGGATTTTTTTTTTCTTGCAGGTTAAACTGCTTCCAGTGTTGACATCAGTATTCAGTTGAGACCTCCAAAATGTGAAAATGGATCAAACATGCAAGGATAAACATGAAGAGCTCAGTTTACCAAATATATAAATGGACACTAAATAAAGTGAGATATCTCCTCAATTGGATAACTGCCCTTTTTCATTTTTCCTTTTTTAAGAGCAAATTGTCCTCACGGGGTTAATTATAATTTGCGGTCACTCAGCTTTAACCAAAAATTTAATTGGGTCACCATACTTTAAAATTTGTGCCAGTTGTTTCAATATACTTTAACTACTCTTCTCTATTTAGGTCTGTCCATTCAAATGCACATATTGTCTAACGTTAGACCCTAGCGTGATTGTTATATATATATATATGAGTGATATTAAGAAATCTACAACTTGAGCTATTCTCTATCCACAAGTCTAACATATAAATTGAATGATGGAAAAAGATGGAGAAATCACTTCTTTCATGTCATTTTTCTACGATCGCCTAGGAGAATGATGGAAACCAAATCGCTTATCGTGCACGAGTAATGATTTTGTGATTCTTGCATTTATTCTCGTACACAATTTCATCCACATTACATTTTTTTATGACCACATAGGATGGGTTGTTAGAATGTAGCAACCACGTGAAATTTCTGGCGTTGAATGATGTGATGGAATTAAACGAAGTATCTAAATTGAGACAATTAAAAATATAACGACCCAATTGAAAATTGAGTCAAAGTACAATTGCTGCAAATAAATTTAATCTCGATCCTCCCTCAAGGTTTTTGTCCTTAATAGTCCTCGACCACCCATGCACCAAAACTCGTGGCACACTCTAATTTTTCATAATCTCAAACTTTTGGTGTCAAAACTAGTCAAGACACCTAGACCCGCAAAAGTTCACACATTAAAAACTCGACCTAGATCGATTCAATAATGTGTTGACAAGTCGTCTATATCTTTTATTGTATTCCTTTTCTCTTTAAAAATAAAAAAAATAAAAAATTCATACTTTTCTTTAAGATATTATTTGTTACCCCCTTATAAATCCTTATCTATTCCTCACTACTTTACAAATCCTCCTGTTCTTTCAAAGTTTTATACTGTTTTCTCTCCTCATAATACCTTCATTAACATTTCTTTGAGACATCTTGCTTTTCCAAATGTTGTTTGTGTTTCGCTCATTTGCTAATCACAATGCAAAATTAATACGACCCATGCCAAAGTGATAGAACATTCTCTCGTGTTATAATTAGTATGGTTGAGAGAAATGTTTGTAAATATAAAATTTGCATTTATTTATTTATTTTTATTTTTTTTGAATTTGGCGAAATACCTTTGATACCCAAGCCTCAGGATATATACCTTACCGAAGTCAAATTTTTTGTGCCAATTGTATGATATTGGTATTCCATGCTCTTATTGATCCTTCAAAATTCTCATAAAAAGATTGGCCAATCCTCAAGCGTGACTTCCATGCTCTAATTGACCAAAGATTTTAATTTTTACTCGGCGATTTTTACTATCTTGAAAAAAAGAATTGAGTAAATGGTGCAAATTACAGAAGAGAGCGAGACACGGTTCACTTTCTAGAAGACGAGATCTTTGAAGAATATATGCTAAGGCATCTCCATCCTTATTTTAGACATACTTCTAGAAAGTAGAAGCACAATTTGTGTCAAGTTATGAAACTACTTTCTAAATTGTTTATAAATACCAAAAAAAACTCTTTTTATCTACATATTTTGAGAACCCCACAATTACTATTCATTTATTCATTATTCCCAAACATCATTTTTTAATTTATAAAGGTTGAAAATGTAAAAAAATGACTTAAATAATTATGACAAAGGTATTTGTTTAAATATATGAGCTAATTAAACATTTAGTTCATTAAATAGCAAAATTAATTTATTTTACCCAGACAATCAAACATTCAATCCATGTTTGATAGAATAAAGAGATACGCATGGATGTGATAAAATTTATCACTTCTCCATGTCAAATCCAACGTATCAAATATATCCAACAAAGAAAATGACCACTTGAGAGGGGACAGGCAGTTATCACTGAGCATCAATTCACTAAGTAAATGACTGGAGCAGACTCAAGATTTCCCAAAAATTCAACAAACAAAGACTAGGGAATGAAAAAATTGAAACAAAATCGAGTAATTACATGGAAAGAATAGAATATCTTTTTGCATTGGCTCGTCGTGTAGAACCTATCTCAGGTCTCTGTACGCATATCTTAGACTGTAACGAATTCTTTGATGACTTTCTTCCGAAATTGTACTCTCTAAATGGAAGTCCCTGACCAGTATTCTTGAGAAGAAAAGGAAAATCAAAAGTTAGAAGCTATGTAGACTAAGAAATTAGACCTGGTAGGAAGAACGATATCATGTGAAAGAATAACAAAATACGACATGTACAAAGGTCCAAACATGTCAAGAAAAATGTAAACGGCATGGTCAAAGGTTTTCTGGTCTTACTTCTGCTTTAATTTCGTAAGGAGATGAAGCAAAATTTTAGATAACCTATCAAATTTAGAACTTGAAGGGTAACTCATGGCAATAACTCCCTAGCACCCTATCAAAATTTTGAAGGATAACCTATCGAGATTTTGGCCTACTTTAAACAAGTTCACATATCAAAATCTTACCAGGACTTGAGGTCACTCATGGCAGGCCAGTGTCCGCAGGGTAACTCCCTAGTACCCTCAAGAATGTGGCAAACTCCTGCCAAAAACCATACACTGTGTTAAGAGTCAAGAATAAACAAACAAATAATAACAAAAGCTTGAAAGAGCAAAAAGATAACAATGGAGCTCAAAGTACTAAGCAGATGCTAAAGATATAGTGTTTAGACTTAATCTCAGCTAATCAGAATCTTCTGGACTGAAATAAACTTATTCAATTGAATTTTTTTTGTTGGAACAATGTGGTCTATTTATAGGCTCCATAAACCTAAGGAATTAGAATCCTACTAGCTACGGAAATGTGTGAAAAAAAAATAGAAAAAAAAAGAAGAGAAAAAAGAACGCCACTACCTAATGTAAATAGGAAAGTTTGAAGCACTAGGACAACTCAAAAACCTATTATAACGTTATGCTTCAGTGGAAATTGTTCAACAAAAGAACTCTATTCAGTATTCTTTAAATTGAGTTTGTTTTGTGAACTCAATACCGAGGTACAGCATGATAGTGATAAACAAAAAGCTGATGTAAAAAATAATGTTGCCAATTGTGAAGAGCTCAAACTAAGACATAAAATTCTACATCATGTGCTCATCCTTGTCATAATGTGAATTACTATGGCATCAAGACAAACGGCTACTAAACTCTACTATATTGTCATAATTCCTCTGTCATCGCTCACATGAAAGTGTCGGGTGCATTACTAAGACCAAAAGGCATCGAAGACATTCGAACTGTCCATATCAAGTTGAAAATTTTGCTTTCCATTCATCTTCACCCCTAATCCAAATTTGATTATAACTTATAACCACCTTTTAAGCCTGCTCAGAAAATGTAATTCATCCAACAAGCCAATCTAGCATCCAATCATTAGGACATCACAACGAACTTCATCTTGCCAAGTGTACTCATCAAAAACACCTCCGAGCAACAGAAATTTTCAGTGGCTTGACTACTACTATAGATGTCATATTTTCAGAATTGTCATTGTAAATTATCTCATCACACCCCTTTCCTTTACAGATGACCTGGGAATAAAAAATACTTCGTCATCTTCAATCCTCCCTTCTCCCAGCTACAGAGAAACTCACGAAACAACCTGACTTTCTCCTTGTATAGGCAACAAATCAATTTCATCACCCTTCCAATAGGAAAGTCTTGCCTTCAATGGGAAGTACATATATTTTCTCTTCGTTCTCAGTAGCAAATTTGTAATAACTAACAACTAAATTGACAAAAAATCATCAATTCAAACACTATTTTATTAACTTGATGAGGAAATGCATAGGCTTGACCTATATACATCGAATGGTAGATTTGTACGATTTTTTGTCATTGGCTCTTCAGCTCAATAAACTAATTGATTCCGTTTCTCTTTCACCTACATAGGACCCTTCAGCAACTTTCTTTGGTGTACGCCCAATTTTTATGTTTGCGTGGTCTCTTTTAGACGCCATCTGGGTATAACTTATGCATAAAACAGCAGCTAAATCTCTACCATTCAAACAGCTCATCTCATATGTCTTCATAGGACGCAAAGCTCCATATTGACCCACTTTTTTCCAGTGCTTTTAGACCATATTGATATACATTTTCTAAGTTGGAAACAAGAGTAATACTCATTTCATCTGATATGGAAAATTTGCATTTTTTTTAATTTTTAATTTCTTTATGACCATGGGTCTTTCGGTTAGCTTACGCGCATCTCGACTAATCCCATGAGACCCTGAAATTTACATTCCGATACTCACCTCAGTGACCCTGAAGGGGCTCGAACTGGTGATTATTGGAAAACAAATCCAAGAACTGACCACTGAATTACCCCTCAAGGTTATAGAAAATACACAATTCCCAATCCCAAGAAACAAGCTGTGAGTTGCTCATCAATCTCAAGGAGGATGACTCGAAGTGTATATGTTATAGAATTCATGGGTGTACTTAGCTTCTGTTGACACAAATAGTGGAATTGTTTTAACGAAGCCATCATATGAGCAGCAAGCATAAATTACTTTAAAAAATTTACAACGTAAGAATCTTCAGTTTTCCTTGCATAGTTCACCACTCTTCCAACCATGTTCATCATGGAAGAGGAACTCTCTTCAGTTTAAGTTTAGCAAAGAGTAGCATGTGCTCTTCCTACATCAACTTCCTAAGAAACAAATTCATCAAGCTAGCTTCCTAGTTATGTGCCCATTCTTCATTGGAAACCAGAAACATAAATTTGAACTCCTAAATTGAGATTAAGAGGTATCGTTAACCACTCTTCTAACCTATTGCACTCAGATTGGCATGAACTACGTGTTTATGGAAAGGGTTAATATTCCTGACCAAAATGTCCATTTCATCCTCCAGGCCTCCTTCCAATAGGTCCAAAGTGGTACCTCCATTTGGGATTCCATGTGATCTGTACGTAATTTTTTCGTATCAAGTTGCTCTATCCTCCTCTATCTCTCTTCCATCTATTGACTTGTGTCAACCTAGGAATTCTTGATTGCTGCATAACCATGATAAATTAAAATCAGCGTCTCCCCTAATACCAAAGTTGAGTGATGTAGATCAATCCTACTGTATTTAGGATAAAAGTTAGTTAATTATAATAAGATGTTTACTTGTAATAGGTTTTATCTTATTATTCTGATATTTTGTTTAGAATAGGATTTCTTTTCTTTATTGATTAGAATAGGATTTCTAATTTCTTTTGGATTGGGATTTATTTTAGTTACCTAAGCACACAAGTTATCAAAATTGCTTTTCTTCAACAAAACTCAAGGACGTGTTTTTTCAGGTGGGAGAGAATGATGTAGAACAATCCTACTGTAGTTAGGATAAAAGTTAGATAATTATAATTATAATAAGATGCTTAGTTGTAATAGGTTTTATCTTTTTATTCTAATATTATGTTTAGAATATGATTTCTTTTCTTTATTGATTAGAATAGGATTTCTAGTTTCTTTTGGATTGGGATTTATTTTAATTACCTTATATTAGTTTCCTAGTAATAGTAGGGAATAATTTTGCCCATATATACAAAGGCATTGTACACTTTTCAACAATAATCAATTATTATTCAATATATACGTGACATGATTGTTCAAATATCATTTTTATTTATTACATCATTCTTATTACAAGAATTTCATAACGCTTCCATACCATTGAGAGAACAAGCTTAAACCAACAATGATAAGAGATATTAAAGAAATAGAGGACAATATGGAAATCGAAGTAAATACTAAAGATTCAGTGATTTAGACATAAATATCAACAAACCAGAATTCCGGACAGAATAAAGTTCTTCAATCAATGTTTTAGTTGGAATTAGGCCTATTCCTAGGCTCTACAAACCTCAAGACTTCAAAACCAATTCTGACTAGCAAACATAAATCAATAAAAAAGTCCAGAACCAAATGTAACTCGAAAAGCATAACCAGTGAGAAAATTCTAAAACCTACTATAATTAGGAAAGCTTTGATGAGTTAGAAATTAAAATTAGTCACAACCTAAAAGAAAAGAATCTAAAAAACTTAATTTAATAATTCTAATCCAAGAAGGATTAGGGAAGAAAGCCTTCATATATCACTTCATTCAATACATAGTTACTTCAGATAGGATTTTAGGATGGCATAACCGTACCTTCAGATGACCAAGAGCATTTTGGGCTCTTTGGTCAGCCATGGATGCTTCAAAATCAACATAGAAAAGATACGGGAAATATCTGCCAGAATTTGATGTCTGATTAGATATAAATGCTTCCAAAGTAATAAAATAGCCAGATATCTAGAGATGTGACTGGTAATCAAGCTTCTATTTGAACCAACTGTGGGTCTACTATGACAGACATGTTTATGTGACTTCATCTACAACATTCATTATAAAAGATTAACAGTTTGCTGCATGTACTTGGGAAATCCATTGGTACCGTCATCAAGTGTTGGCAAAGTCTGCTTCTGCAATGGACGGCTTTCAATCTACATAAGCAGAAATTTGAACAATGGATTTGAGCCATTGACAATAACTGAGCAGAGACGACACTTACAGGATCAAAGGAAAGAAAAACTCACCTTTGTAAGGTTAACATTCCTCATGGCGAAAACAGCAAGTGCTTTGAAAAGCATCCCTGGACCTTCCTCAAGTGAGAAGACTATACTTGTCTGGTAAATGATAACAGATAAATAAATAAATAGGTGCATATTCACTGCAAAAAGAGTAGAAAATAAAGTCGAGATATGCATTTCTTTTGAGGTTCCTACAGCTGTTATCTGCGGTAGCTAACCTTGAAAGGTTTATCAATTCCCGGTATAATAGGTTCCCTAGCCAGCATAAGAAAGCGGGTGACATTATCAGAATCATCCTGGAAAGGAACAAGGAAGACAAATGAGAAAATGCACATGTTTGTGTGTATTTATATGTGAATTCCACATACTATGAAAATCAATAACTCAACTTAGAAGTCAACAAACTCCGCAAGCCTACCTGTATGTCTTCAGCAAGTATGTTCAAACCATAAATGCTTGCAGCAATCTTGCTGGCAACTGCTCCAGCATCCTTGAGTTTATGGAAAGCAACATGCTACAGATTTAAAATGCAAAAGCATGAAAGGTTAAAAATATGAACTGGACTCAATTAGTTTTCTCAGCACAAGCATAAAGCTAATCAAACTATTCAAAGCATGCAAGAGAAATCAGTCATGTTTTTTTTCTAAAGTTAATCAGACAAGAAAATGGCCCGAAAATCTAGGCAAGACTGAAAATGTTGGTTTCAAATTCCTTTGCAGGTATTATTAGCCCACGCAACACTTGCTACAAGAAAGAATTTGATCACATATGATAGAAGATGAGAGCTTATTATGATATATCATTTGCTCCGGACAATTGTTATTAGCTATCAATTACTCACCTTGGCTGCACCAGCAGTATCGTCCACAGCTTCTCTGACCAGTCCCAACCCAGTTAACGTGGACTCACACTGTGAAAGAGCCTGGAGCATCAAAGTATACAGATAAG